ACCCCTTACTTATTCACACATACATACACTACAGTACCACGTGTGCCAAGAGACCAGAATGGACCTTCAAGCTTGGCCCGGCTGGGGCAGTGCCCCGCTGGTGGGAGATATCTGGTTGGAGAAATCCTTCAAGCCGGAACGGATCTCGCTATTAAACGAGGGAATATCGCAGCCTCCTTCCGCGAGAAAAACATGCAATACACTAAAGGGTCTAATGACCTTAGCAGTTGACGCGCCAAGAATTACCAATGAATCGATATAAGAGCATCCTAGAAGCCACACAAATGTCGAATCTGAGTCTTTTAAGACCAAATAGATATTCGAAAAAAATTGCAAATCATGATCATTCACATTACAGGTTATCGTTCAAACTCTTCATGTGTTAATTTCGTTAATTTATAAAATAAAATTTTCAAGGAGATTTTAAAATACCATTATAATACAAAATTGAATTATCAGAAATATCTGTTCACATAATTGTCCAAATTGAACTTAATCGAAAAATTATGTGAATTCATCTTCAACACCTAATATGTTTAAAAGAAAAGTAAGTTACAACCCTAACACAGTATTTTAATAGTTTGAACCCTCAAAATAATTGTATTTTATTTCTATCTCTAAGCATAATTGCTAATAAATAATTTTAATACATGTGAATATATGAATATTGCAGAAACCATCGTACTGATTACTACATACAGTTAGATCGCTAATTCGGGTACGCCCATTTTCACACTAATCAAAAATAAGAACCAATCGAATGTGATCTAAAGAAAATTCAAAGCGACAGGATGAAAATATTTTTGCAAGAGGCAAAAGCAAAGACATACTTAAAAACAAATTCTAAGAGCACAAATAGGAAACAAAAGTAACGAAAACCTAATAACTAAATACGTAAATACCAAATTGTTTGATTTCCTAAAATATTTTATTTTGAATAAGTCAACTCTGGTTTATACGGAGTCCTCTCGGAAGCTGTTGGAGGCGGTGGCGGCGGAGTCGGTGGCGGGCAGCAAAAGAGAGTGACGGGTAGTTGACGCGACCTGCCGCATCCAGCGCCGCTGTCCGTCGAAGCCGTGTCGACATGCGATGCTGAAATGTTACATTCGCGTAACATCATCCGCAAGTGTACCGTGCGCATGTATGCATAATTCATTTGTTGCACAGCACGTACAATATTTGAACAGGCTCGCCACATTGACGAGTTTATTAGCAATATACAGCACCCGAGCTGAACACCATAATCCATTATGCCAGCGTAACCGGCTATTTAAAAAATGCGGCTGAATCACGAGGATAGTAATAACTCGAATAGGACCTTTGCGTGCTGTATGTTATGGAAATACCAAAATTGAATAACTGCTAATGAAAATGTGTATGTGAAAGCAATTACGATGCTGTCGAGGCGCCGACTACACAATTTCTCCTCTGGCTTAATTTTCTTTCTTCGTTATATCAGCAAAAAATTAATGTATTCTTGCATTGAAAAACTGTGTTTTTTAACAAATCATGTGCATGTTTTTCTTTGTCCACATCTAATAAATCCGAGAATAAGATGAATTAGAAATGAAAGAAGAGAAGCGAACATATCTCTGCAAACTGTAGTTCATCGATCGATGCTTTAGTAATATTGATAAACGAATTTCACGAGTTACTAGTATTAGTAGTAATTAAATAATAATGAGAAAGGCCAGTTCCTGTTTTGAACCAGTGGCAGCGGATAATAGCGAACCGTACAAGCAAAAGCAAGAGCGACCCAGCGGTTTCAACATTACTCATACACTTTCTTCTCTATTCCTGCTCCTCTGCTTCGTAATAACCGCTTTTAACATCCTTTTCTTTCTTTTTCATTTCCTTGGTGTGACGACGCAGAAATATTTCTAAAACATGAAAATGTTGCCTTTACATAGACTTTAATGTTACACTTCTAACAATTCAATTACAACATTACACTATTTTAATATAATAAACTTACAACACGAAATCAATTTACTATATAGAAATTTCGATAACACAGTATTGTACAAAATTTGCATTTAAGATTACCGAGTTTTAAAAAAATATGTAGAATCAAGTATGTATAATACACATTTCCAATGGGCGTAGAAATTGAAAGAAAATAATGTAGCCTCTGATCATGTGAAAGGTGCCTATGGTTTTTTTAGATACCCAGCAACTCAAAAACAATAAAACAGTTTGGATTTTGCCTCAAAAATGCAAATATTCGATTGTGTTATTCTTCGCAATCTCATGCTTCGCGACTGCCTACAGAATGTTCTTATTCTGCTTACGACACAGCCCATGTCATGCGACAGCAAGAAGCCAAGGAAGAAATCGTCATTAAATATTTGCTATTCGCATGTTGCGTAATAAAATAGCAACGTTTTTTATATTCTTGGTACCTAAAAAAACTGTTGTTTTGTTTTGTATACTGAACTTTTCTATACAAACTTATTCAATGAAGAACGTGTATAATGAGGAAATCTGTCTAATGTGAACATAAAACGTGGCCCTGCCATACATAATAAATTCTGTAGAATTACATTGTATAATAAGGAATCTTGTCTAATTCGGAAAAAAATATTGGTCCCTTGAGAGTCCGCATTGCTATTTTTTGCGGTATTCATGAAGACTGTTTTTATTGAAATATTTCATTTGTTGCAGTGTTAAAGTAAAATTTTGGAAATCTATTTTTGAGTGGATTGGTCCAACGATTTTGCTGTCTCAGGACGCTGGTACATGCGAATCGCGCGATACAAACGCTATAATTATTCGATTAAAACCACTATAGTTTAGTTATAGCTACATACCGAGGTCAAATTCATTCGCTGTCTGTAGGTGAATTCTAGCGGCCGGCTGCTCTGATGGGTAGTTTTCCCTGGTTTCTCCGATCTACACCAATGAATGCTGGGCCAGTACCCTAAGAAACGGGCCACGGACCGCGCGCGATCTTTCCTTCCTCTTTTATCCTCACTCCTTACACACACTTATACTTGTTCAACACTATCACATATGTCAGGAGACCGTTCGGGTGCTTAGAGCTTGTCCCGGTTGGAGCGATGCCTCATGAGTGGAAGATATCTGGTTAGGGGGAACCTCGTTAGCCGACGGTTGGTCGGCGATATATCACCACACAGCTTGGAATGATCTCGGCCACCTCTCGAGGAAAACGCATGCACTATACTTATGGGACTAATTTTTGGGCTAAATTTGTACAACAGGCTTTGAGGCAAAAATCTCTATCTCCAATTCTGAATGTTTTTTTCTTCCAGTTTTTGAAAAATCGGGGATGTCAACGAAAATGAGACCCTCACCATTCTCTTAAATGTCCTTTACACTATTCAACAACAAAATTTAATCAAAAAATTAAGAGTCATGTTTTGGAAATTTTGAAAATGTTCCAGGGGCTTCAGGTAAAGTACCCCCTCAAAATAAAAAATTTCGGTTTTGAATTCCAGAGTCCGCGACATCAGCTAGAACGATTAGGGAATATCAATTTTGGAGAAAATCGGCTGAACGGTTTCTGCGCTAGCGTTGTGCACGAACGGACAATTTGCCGTCAATCGATTTTTTGGTATGAAGGACGCACAAAACATGGATTTTTGCAACACCACGTGTTAAATGATTTTTTTCTATATATATATTGCAACTGGATTTAACTACTTTTTCATCACAATAGCCCGGCAATAACAGTTTTTGTGCCGAAAAGTCGCCGTTCTCCGGCTCACGATTACAATACTTTCTCTTCTTACATTAGTGAGTGCGAGAAAGTAAAAATTTACAATATTTTTCACAATGGCGCACCATTATCTTTAAATGTAAACATTTGTCGATGCATTTGCAAATGTGTATTCCCGCCTGAGATATGGCATTCTATTCTGGGGAAACATATCATGTGGAATCCAAACCTTTAGAGTGCAAAAGAAAATTATTCGAAAAATGAAAAAATTCCATCCGCGTGGCCTCTGCAAGCCTTTCATTGAGCTTGGAACCTTACCATTGCCTTGTCTATTTACGAATCTGTAATATTTGTCAAAACTGACTTACTTAACGCTCGAAACATATTTTCATGCAATACTGATATTTATGATTACAAAACACGTCGTAGAAATCACATTCATCAAGTGTCAGTAGCAACGGCTCACTTCCAGAAATCCACATATAATACATGTACGTTACTTTACAACGCATTGCCAGATGACATTAAACAACTGAAGTCGATACACAAATTGAAGTTAAAAGTAAAATATTTTCTGTTGCATAACTGTTTCTGTACAATTAGATACTATACTAATCGACAAAAAGAAAAATTAAGTTCATTTAACAAAACAGTGATATATAATGAATTAGTTAACATTTGTATTGTATATTTTTTTAAAGACTAATGATAAAGAATGTACCTCAGCTTCCGGATCAATGACCCCATCTCGATCAGGTTTTCGTCCAGATCCATTTTTTGTCCTGATCCATTGAGCAAATGCTGAGATGGACCCTTGTTTTGCTTCTGGATGTAAACATAGCTTCACTAGGTGCACGTTTTGTTGAACTCTCCTTTTGCTTGTAGTGATAAGAGGTAAGGGCGTGTTGCTATTTTGTTAGTAATGCAGAAAATCAAATCTGCAGTTCGTTTACCGTGACAAACACGTTTTCTATAACTCGGGAACGAATATGCCTAGTTTTTCAAATGTCGCTAATCTCGCGCTGTTTTAAATTTTATTTTTATTTATTTGTTTGTTTGTTATTGTTTAATTTTCTTTCTTTCCTTCTTTCTTTCTTTCTTTCTTTCTTTCTTTCTTTCTTTCTTTCTTTCTTTCTTTCTTTCTTTCTTTGTCCGTCTGTTTGTTAGTTTATAACTTTTACGCATCTTATAGTTAAAATGATGGGAAGGGATTCTGGAACTCAAGAAAATGTGCGCAGATTATCTTCTCCCCCATAAGATTTTAGTCATTTTAAGTGTATTATTCACTCTGTGTGTTATCAGCGACAGGAAAACTGATGGGAATTAGTATTTGCAATGATTGAATTCGAGAATTTTGAACGGATAACGTTGGCAGCTCTGAAGCGTCAAAATGGAGTGCTAGCAGTTCATAAATGCATTTGTTTGTAACCTAGTCCGTCCACTGAAATGTGCTCCAACGTATTGTTTATCTGTGATATCATAATATAATTCTATATTTTAATTACCCTAACTTGTTAAAATGGGTGATACTGAATTAGTAGATTTGCATTCAAGTTCTAAGAAAGAAATGAACTATGCCTGGGTATGAGGTCTTACAATTTTTATATTTTTATAGTTGGTTTCGGATTTTAAGACTATCATGAGATTTTGAAAAGCGTAATATAATTTCTTTCAATTTTTATGTTGTATAGAAGTAAACATTTTATGAATTTTATTATTTAAGAAACTTGTTCTAAAATATCTCCATAGCATCTTAAAAATTGAGAATAAATAGACCTAAAGCTCTTTCATTGAATTAATGTGTTATCATTTCATTAATTATAATAGTTTGTTTGAAATACTTCTCTTTTCTATGTATTTAGGGCATTTCTGAAGCAGATGATGAAACTTCTATCATAAAACCCAAGCCTCGGAAGCGTTTAGAAACCGTAGTAGAAACTCCATTTAATCTACCTGTTTCGGAAACTTCATCAACTGTTGATGCTTTACCACCTCTTAGAAAACCAATGCCCAGAAGGAGGAAACAAAAGGAAATTGTCCTTTCCCCTAGAGATCTTGATAGCCCTGCATCAAAGCCATCAGCTTCTGATTCAGGATTTGTACTTTCTCCGGGAAGATCATCTGCTGCCAGTAGTCATAGATTAGAAGACAAGGTGTGTATATTTCAAAATAAAGTATGACTGTTGAGCATTGGAAAACTGATGTGAACACTTCTTGTTGTATGTAATTATTCTTCTAATTTCATGATCAAATTATACATACATGCATGCATGCATACTTTATTTTAATATTATATTAATTTCATGATAAAGATTAATTTTATCTCACAGTTGATGACTTAAAAATCATTTTGAAGAAATTATTTGCAATCAACTAACAACTTAAGAAATTAGATTTGGGTATAAGTAATTGAAAATCTTTTATTAACAATTTGGAAGTAATTGAAAATCTTTTATTAACAATTTGGAAGTAATTTAGATCCTTTTATGGGATGCAATAAATATTTCATCTCATTGAAGAAAAAAAATTGTTGTTTTCTCTTTAATTGAGAATATTCTGAAATGGCATTTAGTCAGATAACAATGGCTAATTGATTTTATTGTTTTAAAAACATATTGAAGAACTCATATATATTAAAATATTTCTCAAAGAATTTGATTACTCTAAAAACACTCATACAATTATTTAGTAATATATTTTACAGTGATAAGTTCAAAGTGATGAATGCTCATGTTATATGTTTGTCAAAATAATAATATACCAATTTCAAAGAATATAATGCAGAAGAATATCAGTAAAATGCTCTTGTTCATTTGGATTTTTAATGCAATGTGTGATGAAGATTTTGCAGTGAGTCGTAATGAATCAAATTCATTAGTAAGAATTTATAAGTTATAAAAGTGATATTATGTCACATAAAATGCATTGTTTAACTGAAATTTATTGAAATAATTTCTTTGCTTACTGTAATACATAATATTTCTGAAAAATTTGGAGTAATGGCAATATATTTTTGTTCTTAGGGAATTTCTGAAGCAGATGATGATGATTCTGTTGAAGTAAGAACAATAGCCTTCAGGCCTCAAGAAGCAATTGCAGAGACATCTTTTGATAATCCGGTACAACTGGCAACTTTTTCCCCAGTTCATTCATTTAAGAAACCAGTTCCTTCAAGGAGAAAACAAAAACTTTTTTCTCCTCCCCAAGAATTAGCAAGTCCAGTTTCCAAGACCTCAACCTCTGAACATGTTCTTGTACATTCTCCAGGAAGGTCATCTGTTAGTAGCAGAGGCAGAGGAGAAGAAAAGGTATATTGCCTACATTTTTTCTATTAGTCTGCTAGCTTCCAAGTGTGAGAAAGATATATCAATTTTTAACTGTATTACAAGTGGACTTTCTGGAAAATAATTATTAGGTAATGCTAATTGAAAAGTACTAAGGAACCATTTATTTTGCAATTATGAACAAATATATGGCAAATTATGATTTTTATTACTGTTTTTAACAAACATGAGGATTCATGTGAATGAAATGAACAATAGTATAGCCTTCTGAGATTTGTATATCACTAGCTACTTCATTTTTTAAGGTAACAATTTGACAGTATGTAATTTTAATTTATTTTTATTTGTCAGAATTCAGCTCTAAAACCAATAATGTGTTGTTTTTATTCATTACGTATCCAGGATTCAGGACCCTCTAGCCTTCCTGCGAGAGCAGATACTCCAGCAAGTATAAGTAGTCAACACCCGTCTGTGGGTGAGACATCCTTAGATGGTAGTAGGAGTTTGACATCACAATCTGATACCAGATCATATCGAGAGAGAATAAGAGATCGTGTGCGATCTGAGAGGGTATGTTATTTTGAATTGTTCACTTCAGAATGTAAAAAGTAGAAAAATAAGAAAATTATTTGCCTGAATTAAGGGAGAGAATAAACATTTTTCTTCTTGAAGAGGTGTAAATGAGATAATAAAATACTTATGTATTATATTATATACAATTGTTGTATTAAAACATTTAATCACAGTTAAAACATACTAAAAATGTGTTCTACATCTCTTGTAAATGAAGAATAATGATTTGATGTGTCAAGAGTGTAAATGTAGTTACGTTCATGCATGAAAACATATTTTAGTAGTTTGGTATGACATTAAAAAGTAAGTTGCAGAAGTTACATACATTGAAATAGTTGAGCTGATGTGGCAATTGCTTTGTATCCTCATTAACTTATCTTTTAGCTTATTTAGTTAATGAAATAAAAGTTTTTACACAAAACTTATTTAAATTCAGTAATATACATTTTATCATTTCTAATCTGGATACGTTTAATTCCAAAAACTTCTTCTAATTTTTATGTTGAAGGATAAAGCAGCATCTGGTATCGTGCAAGCTCACCAACGGTCACGTCTGAAGCAGAGACTCCTTGCTAAGCCTGCAACTTCTCGCTTTGATTTGATAGTAAGTGGAAAGAAAGAACTTGATGCTGCATTTGTTTTCTATTTCAGTTTCAAGTATTTCAGTATTTTGAAAACAGTTTCTCTGCAGTTACAGAAAGAAGAAAGACAAGTAGAAGAGGCCCTGCAGAAGCATGAAACAACTCGTTCAAAATGGAAAAGTGCTGCTGAAAATCTCCGCAAGGTATTTTCAAATGTCTTTCAATTGGAGAATCAGTTCTAGACATTGTTTGGGAGGACCGGTTCCTTCTCACCAATATCAACAGAAATACCTTTTGCCTTATTTTTTGTTTGTTTTCTTTTTAGATCTTTTAATCATAAATTGTTTCAAAATTTTTGGGGGCATGAAAAACACTAATAGAATTATTTTTACAAATTCATTTATAAACTAAGCAAATCTGTTTTACATTTATTTTTATTGGTTTAAACAATTCCACATGTATTCTTACGTAAATATTCAGAATTAATATGATTCTCCAAAACAATTAGTATGCTCTAATGTTTGTTTCAATATACTCATCATTAATCATAAGTAAATAAGTAAGTTTATAAGTAAGTCCTCGGAAGGATAGGCAACGGCCAAATTTGACACATCATTAGGTGTCCTTAATCTTCAATCTTCATGAAGTAAGTGGATTTTGACCAAGGTGAAGATACATTTTTCAAGGATTGAGTTTTATAATTAATTATTATTATTGTTTCTTAAAAAGAGAATCATTGAATTCAAGCGCAAATGTTTCAGATTGTACTACCTCTATTTAGAAAGTTACATAATAGCATCAGGAGAATTAATTATTTGTGATGTTTGCTATAACTTCACCATGTGTCCCATTACCTGTATTTTTTTATTGGATGGAATTAATTGTACAAATTGGCAAGAGTAAAAGGTTTATTATTTTTTTTCTATTAATAATTGTTTTGTTACACATTGTCGTAGGAATTGTATTGATGGATCATTTATATAAGAACTGTTTCAATATCATGTTTTTAATTTAATTTCAATATTGATTTAAGCATTAAATCAATATTTTGTTTCTAAGAGGGTATTAAAGCTTATGGGAGAAAATTTCATTATATCTCACTATTTTAATCTGTAAGATAATTGTGAATAAAAATTGGAAACTAGTCACAAAACATTTCAGTTCTAGATTGGAAGTTGACATTCTCTTATATTGTGAGTATATATAAGAGTGCATGTGTATCAAGAAAGTGCTTCTCCAAGTAATTTAAAAATTCATTTCAACAGCTACCGAGTGAACAGGAGTGTTACGATTTCTTCACCCAAGTATGGGATTCTGAAACAGAGGAAACAGAACCTCATACTCCAGCTTCAGTTCAAGGTAATTCCTAATGTTTCTCTATTGTATTATTAATGATATTATTAACATGACAATATTATTTGAAGAATAATAGAAGCTGGACTCAATGACTGAGAAAGTGAGAGGTAATGCTTTTTTAGTGCCCTTTGCAGAGGGTAGAGGTTCATGGGCGTGTGCAACAAGAGGGGGGACATGGGTGTGTAAAACAAGAGGGGGAGGGGGAACTACTTTTCTGACACACTCCAGACCCTGTTTTCTATCAAATGTTTTATTTACATAACCTTGTTTGTTTTATTTACTAAGAAGTAAATAAAACAAACAAAGACAATGAAATTATAACTTTACTGATACAATTAATAAATACAATTGCAAATACAACTTTATTGAACCATTTACTGGATTGCCAGATCATTGAGGAAGCCTCTTCCGTGAAAGTGTGATATCAGTTTCCCATACTGAAGCCTTGAAGAAGGAAAAAATAAGAAATTGATCATATTTAACTATTATAATACAGTATATATTATGATATGAGAGATAAAAGTGACATTTGACTTAGTGAGTGGGAAAGGTTGAGATATGAGGCCATTAGATCGAGGAGCACAATCCTATAAGCAGATTTCATACACTGTTTTTTAGACAACATTATTGACTTTCATTTTATTTTAATTCCAGTACACAGATCATTTCATTTTGTACAATGTTTTATTAAGGTCAGTAGAAGCTGATACAACGGGACAAAAGAATTTTGTATTCTTTGTTGCATCAACCTGTTTTATCTGAACCTTTGAGCATTGTTTCACTTGTTCTAAAAATTGAACGTTTAGCATACACTTTTTGTTCTTAAAGTAACCACTTTTCCTAAGGGCTGTCTAAAAACTACTTTAATGCATGAGATTACTGGGCCTATTTTAACATTTTCAGACGGTCAGAGGCCCCCCACCCCCCTGCACAGGTCTAGGCATGGTGTGAAACAGCAGATTGGTAGGATTTTTGGAGCCCTTTCTTCTGAGCATGTCATAGGTATCTCTCAGAACCACCTTTCTGCTGATTCACACAACAGAAAAGTTTGTTAGGTCAAAATCTTTTTATGAGTTAAATGAAGAACTAACATCAGCTAAAAAAATAATAATTTAAGAATATTGTAAAAAATATTGGGAATACAAGAATATTTGTCTTATAAAAACTAGTTAATTGCCTAATGTTGCTCATGTATTTATCACAATTATGCTTTTCCCTTTGCTCAGCCAACCACCCTGCTCCCCATCTACTTAAACCACCATCTCTCACTCTGCCTGCATTAGAGGGATTGTGGATTAAATGAATATTTGGTTTGTAAATACCACCTCTTCTCTAATTATCCCTTGCTCCATAAATATTCTTTTTCCCATTGTAAGTCAAATGTGTTTCAAGTTTGACTTAAATAGCAAATATATTTAAGATTTTTTTTTCTGTTTTTTTTTCCTCCTTTTTTTGTTGCTCTTTTCTTTTCTTTTTTTCTTCTTTTTTTCTCTTCTTTCTTTCTTTAATTTTCTTTGGCTAGTACAGAACTTTTTGTATCAAATAAATCCACTCTTGTGTATTAGAAAAACATTTCACTTTTAACATTCTGACATTACTAATTTCTAAGATGATTGTTTTCTTTGTTGAAGAAACTGAAGAGATTGAGCATGAGGGTGGAGATCAAACTAAACTTATCACATCTGAATATCTTGGATTGCAAGATGAATGGGATATAGTTGAGGATACAATTCCCACATATTTAAATATGGAAGAAGTGCATGAAAGAGAAAAAATTCTTTACTTTTATCCTGATTCCAAATTAGGTATGTGCACAAAAAAATCCTTTTAATTCACGTTAAAGAATGTCCTAAAGAAGACAGTCACACTCTGTCATTTCTATGTTGGAAAAATAATATGAAATGTAAGACAAGTATTGGTAGTTGGCAGTTAATGAAAATATATTTTTTGAACTTTCCTAGTCTTTACAGAAGAAAATATGTTGTGTTGTTTTAACATAAAGAAGAAAATGTATGTTTCAGAAATAAATCTTTAAAAATAAGAAATAAAAGTTTAAGAAGTAAATTTGTTTTTCAATTTATTGTTTCAGTGCCTGTTGAAGCCAAATTGCCTCCAGACCAAGAGCCTCGCTATCCTGAAGCGGAAGGCTTGTATATAGGAACTCAGCTGCCTTTGTCTGGACGAAATAGATGTCGAGTGGAGCAAAGAATTTTAGTTTCTGGTGAATTGTATGTACACAGATTTGCAATTGCATAATTCCAAAGACTGCTTTTGAGAAGTATCACTATGTGGATAGAAAACTTCATTAAGGGATTTGTTTCTGTTTCAAAAGCAAAATGGTGGTCTTAATCTCACATATGCTTGCATTTAAGATAATGGCTCAAATATCACCTACAAAATTAAGTACTTGGGATCTTACTTTATTGTAGATCAAACATAAAAATTTAGGTAACTGTAATGTAACTTTTTTTCTTTCATTTTTGAAAAATTTAACTCTTCACTGTTAATTCCTTTGAAGGACTGTGGTTAGCATCACTAACCATGAACATAATTATTATTCTGCAGTTAGTAGACAGGGATTAGCACTGGTAAACACATTTTTAGTGGTCAGTGGTCTTGCTAGATGTCACTGCTTGTGATGTTCAGAGCTGCAATTTCATTCTGAAAAATGCTAAAGAATGCCGCTGCTTGTGCAAACACATTTTGCTGCTCTTGGAAAATAAATGGTTAGTGTAACTAACCACAGTCTGCAAAGATTGGAATTATTGTAAAGATACATACAGAAAATACATAAGGAAGGATGTACATTAAAATTTAAGTTCTTAATTACTTTACAGTATTGTTTTTGCAACTAATTAGTCAGAAAGAGTTTGCCAGAATTTAATGTTTAGTCATATGGTGTTCTTAAAAGTAGAGAGTGCAGTTTTGATGAAAAGGTTTATGAAACTTCAACAGATGCAGATTTTATGAGAAATAGCTGTGTTACCAATTAAGAGTATCTTATTTCAAACTCTCTTTATATAGTATATCATTTGCAAGATATCTGTTTGCATGCCTAAGGACCATCCTATTTATTAGGAGACAAGTTCACGTGATAATTTTTATGAAAGTTAAAATTTAAACAAAACATTTTTCCTTTTTTTATTTGAGTTTTATAAACAGTGTTATTGGTATGTTGGTTTTTAAACACCTTGTTTTGAAGGGTAGGTGATGTACAGTTTGCAAGATATTCTTAGTCCTTCTAATTATTTGTGCAGAAAGTGGTTTGGGGATGATGGTGAAATCATATCAATACCAGATCCACGTAGCACAATATATTACAAACCTCCTTTATTTGATGATGTCAGTCCTCTGTTGGAAACTCAATACAAAGATGTGAGTTGTTTTGAATTATTACTTGACAATATGAGTTTTTTTTCTGTGTATTTATTTTTACCCATCTTTGCTTAAGTAGAAAAGTAATTTTGTTGAAAGGTGATGTCAAAGCTTAAATCATATTTTGCTCTTACATATTACATTTCTGTGTGGAATATCTTCTAGGGATGATTCTCTTTAGTTCAGTAAAAAAACAATTTAGTTTGGTAAATAGTTAAAGGTGAGGATGAAAGATGTCTGAGAGGAAACATGATTTTTTTAAATGTTCTTTTAGGTGCGGTGTATGTAATTTTTTTAATAAAAGAATGTACAACCCTTCATGTTTTGTGCACCTTGTACAATATTTTCAATGTTTTAGGCTGTTCCTTTGGATTTGGATAAACATAGTGTTATGCAGCCTATTGACCTCAACACAATGTATTTACTTGGAATAGAAATACAGTCTATAGTTTTCACTCACCACCCATTGTTCAGTCGTGAACACGTTCTAGCTAAACTGCTTAAAGATTTGTATGAGAAACATTGTCGCAGAGTATCATTGAAGAATGAGGATAGATTGGGAGGTCGTTTGCAAGCACTTAGAAGAGCACGAAATGCTTTGCGGATTTCCTTGGAGAAATCTGCAGATACTAGTCAAGAACAGAAAGAACGTTTAAGAAAGTAAGTAACATAAAGTAAAATAATAGTAAACAGAGGTATGTTTTGTTCATTACTTTTTAAACTGCAAATTTTTTTCTACTCCTCCTCCAGATACAATACAGAAATTCGAGAAGTGCGTCAAATGCACATGTCTGAATGTCGTCGTGATCGACAATTACTTGGTAGTGTTTTACAAGCATGGAGAGATTTAAAAGAAGTTCGTGAGCTTCAGCAGTACATTAATACACCCTATCAGTTGCGAATCCATGCACAGCAAATAAGCAGAGAGGAGGCAGATGCCGAACAAGAGGAATGGGAGAAACTTGTCCAGGCTGAGTGGGAAGATTTCAAGGAAGAGAAGACAGAAGAGTTCACTAAACAAAAGAGAGAGTATAAGAAGGTTCTTGCTCAATGGAAGAAAAAACGAAAGCATATGGTATGAAAATAGTGTTAGATATGTGTATGGTTTCTGTTCTAATGAGATATTTTATGAAGTTATACATTTTTATTGTTAAAGTGTGTAAATAAACAGATTTGTAAACAATTTTAGCAGAAGACACGAAGACAACAACAGAGGGAGAAGGAAGAGTCAATTGAGATGGATGATGACTCTACAAAAGATGAAGACAGTGAAGATGAGGTGCCAATGGGGAAGGAACCCAAGCCCCCCAATCCAATTGATTGGTCTTCCCTGAGAAACGAGTTGGAAGGGCAGCTCAAAGAGTGCTTCCGACCTCCAGGAGAACCTAAACTTTTCTTGGAACTTACACAATCAGCCACTATTACAATTGATTCTGAAAATCCAAGGTAATCCTTTATTTGTGACTAGCACCTCATGCCCACTTCAGGGGTGTGAATCTAATGAAAATCTGTTAAAAAATAGTTGTTATTAGATTTGATTAACTTCAAAACTATTTGTTATGATGTAGAAATTAAAATGTGTCATCAAGGCTTCTTGTTTCTTGTTCTCTCATAGTTGTACCACTTTTGTATGAAGTTTATCAGTCAAATTGATACATTTTTTTTAAAAATAAACTTATATGTGTTTTCATTAGTTAGGTATTATTCAAGTAAACACTTGCTCAGCTTTAATTATTTTATTTATTTAATAATAAACTTACAACTTGTGTCCATTTTTCATTGTCTGTCTTTAAAATTTATTTTATAATTTTATTTCAAGCAATTTTAGTAAAATCAACCACTAATTGGTTGCTTCTTCTCTGCCATTTACTACCATAAGTCATTGTCATCTTGAACTACAAGATGTTGAGTTTATCACCTAATTGTCCTGATTGTACAGTAGATGTGCTAGTTTATACCACCAGATGTTACTGTTCTCTCCATTTTCTTTTTGGTCTAGTTTTGGAAGTCTTGTATTCTTCATTCTCTTTTCATTTTTTTAACCATTTATTTTGATTTCCTTTTATGTCTTCCGTAAGTATTTTTTTATTTCTTCCTCTGTACAAGTGTGTGAAACAATCTCTTACAAGTGGTATTTGTCGTATGATATTAGATACATATAGTCATTGCCTTCCTTTCTCTTCCTTATTGGTGTATAATAGTTTTCCACTCTTGGATGCATTGAAATATTTGGTAGTTATCAATATTTTGGATTTATTTGATTCTAGAGAACAACAGAGGAGAGCAGCAGTGAAGCGATGCTCTCTCTTCATTCGTTTGTTGTACAATGGTCAAGAAGTATGTCGAACAAAGAATCAACCTTTAACTGCCCAATTTGAAGTGATCTTAAAAGAAAAAGTTGCAATGCGTATAGCAGAGTGGCCAGAGAGCCTAAAAGTGGAGCTATATGAAGAAGGTGGCTCGTTCGGACGGCATGTTGTAGCTGAAGTCTTTATTCCTATTCCCAGTCAGTAAGTAAAAACTTTCATGATTTTAAACTTTTTTTTTCGCAATTCTTTGGTTTCTAAGAAAAGTTTGTGAGCTTTTAAAAATTAAACATAAGATATGAATATTGAGATAAGAATCTATCTATCATGTAAATGAATTATGTGATTTAATGTTAAAATCTAAAAGCTTCACAGATAGTTTTCTGTATTTTCATTATTTGTTTTATTAGATAATTCTGCTATTAATATTGCCAACTAACATCTTAATTAAAATATCAATGATATGATCTTGAATTTCAAATTGTTTGTTAGTGTATTGTTGAAAGTTGCAATTGTAATTTGTTTTCTCCTTCAGCACTACTGCTATGGAAGCTGTACAAAGTGAACCATATGAATTCAGCAATACTCAGGTGATCACTTTCAGCCATGCTGGTGTTGGCTGTGGTACCTACTCAAGTGTTCTTCCATCCAGCAGAAATATTCCCTGTTTATATACAACAGGAGTTATCATGTGTTGCGCAGGATGGGCCACTGAAAAATCCAGTGGCAAAATCCTCTCCCCTCCAGAGAAGTACTGCGGTTCTCATAAGAGGTAAGAATAGTTTTTTGTTTTAAAATATCTTGCTCATTTAGTTGTATTACCAGATTTCTTTTTGACAGTGATAGTGCTGATCTAATGGACATTGTCAATCTACCTGAGGGCACAGTTGATATGGAAAAACTGAGAAAATGGGCAGAAAGTTCTCCACTTGACCCTAATGATCCTAGTAATTCTTCCTTCTTTTACTGCTTGAAAGTATGTGAACATTTTTACAAATTATTTTGAGTTTTTGATAAAAGTTTTCCAAAGGAAATGAGTGAGTTTATAATTGGTGTTCATTCGAACAGAATGCTAGTATGGGACTCACAACAGAACCTACATACTTCCGTCTGGATCCGTTGCAATCAGAGTTTGATTTCTGCAGAATGGAAGATATTATTAACAATCCTCGTCTGCGACTTTTATATCTAAGGGATCGAGGAGAACCAGAATTCAGAGGGTTGAGACAAGTTCCTATTAGAGAGAAGGAAATTTCAGAGGATGTGTTTAAGGTATATTTATATAATTTTGCATTTATATTTATTGTTTTTAACGTTATAATTTTAGTAGTTACCCTGTAAAATGTTTTATTGATGAGGCAATTTCATGTCACAGGCCTATGAAAAACGATTGGCTAGTCCTCAGATTGAAATTGGAACTATTTCTACTGATCCTTTAGATATCCACCGAGCATGGGGAAAAAGATTTTTGCAGGAAATTAGACAAAGAATTTTGAAGCAGTGTCGTCAGGCTCAACAGTATAGAAAACTTGAAGATATTGTAACAGAAGATCAAGTTCCTGACATTGGGTAAATATTTATTTAATTATTTGCTTCTAGTTTTTTAGCAATAGCTGTGAAAATGAATTTCATTTCAAATTTTGAGTATGTGGACTTCTTATGAAATTATATGATAACAAAACAAAACTTATTTTCCTTTTGTTTCTAGTACTCTTGGACTCACATTTATGCAGTGGCTTCAGCCCAAACGTCCCCTCAAACCAGCTCGCAAAGAACGTAAAAAAGTAACAGTACAAGGTTTGGGTGGACAGGATGTTCGGTTAATCATAAATGTTGTTCGAGCTTTTGATGTTCCTGTGCGCAAGGATATTGACACAGTTCAGCAGTCATCCTCTAGCGCATTTCACCAGAGCCAAAAATTTTCAACTGTTCCAGTCCGGCCGTTTGTTGAAGTGACTTTCCAGGGGGTATCTAAGAGAACTACAACTGCTCTTGGCAACAATCCAACATGGAATCAAGATCTGCAGTTGCCAATGAGGTGAAACAAAATGAGTTAATGTAGTTAAAACATCTAAGTTATTTAAAAGCAAACTAAAAAGCAAAACTTTTTAATATTCCTGTTGTAGATGATGTTACAAATGTAGAAAATAAGTTGAGCGAATTGATTATAAAACACCAAGTATTAAGTTCTAAATATACTGTTGTTAATATACCTGGTTACTAGCCACATATTCAGTACGCTTGACACCAAATAACTTGTGTGTGCTTCAAGGATCAGTGTGTTTTGTCTTATTCCTAGACCACCTAGTGGAGATTTCACCCCTGGTAATTTGCAAGAGATGCAAGACACTCTTCACCTCCATCTCTTTGACGAAATAGTGGTTGATCTCTTAGAAGATGATCGTATGCGTGATACCAATATTCATCAGCGTTTAGAGCGTCACTGGTTGGGCAGCCTGTCTATTCCCTTTATCACACTCTACCACAATGCTCGGGTAAAAATAAATTATGTTAATATCTTTTTATTAAAAATAAATATGGTCCGTTGTATATTTATAGATTGTCAAATTATTGTGGGCAAGAAATTGAGAAAATCACGTAAAATATTTTCTTAATTTATAAAAGAAAAAAAAAAATTTATGTGACTTTCCCAATTTCTTACCTTACAATAATTTGACTGTCTATTAATATATGTAGTACCATATTTACATAATTATAGGAATTAATACGGCTAATGCCCTAGATACAGTGTTCAGATTTGTGTTTGAATTTCAGATTGAAGGTACATTCAAGCTATATTCTCCTCCTGTGTTACTGGGTTATGAACGTGAACCTCCACATCGCCAATTCAGTGGTTACGTAAATGAAGGTCATTCCTCATTTTCACACCAAGATTCGACATTTCTAACAATTTTCATATCAGTTCAGCCTGCACTCAATCCACCTGAACCATTTAAGGTAAGTATTATTCTTACATTCTGTTGCTTAATTAAATTACTGTCAAAAAGTGTGAAAACTGCTTGTGGCTTATGGGGAAGAAGCATATTCCACTTATGTTTTTTGAGCCCCACATTCCCTAACCCTCTCTTTTAGTTTACTTAGTTGAATTATGAATAAAGGTACAAAAAAGCATGATTGGCAACATTTGAAACAGTTTTGCAATTAAGTAATAGAGAACAACAATTCATCAAATGAACTACAGATTTAATTTTATAGAATTGGTGTTGAAATATTTTACCCTTCCATCCTCCTTCCACAAAAAGAAAACTCCTCAAAACGTGATGAAAATGGTGATTTTTTAAAGTATAATATGGGGTCATTCGGGTCATTATTTTACAAGTCTTATTGGATCCCCAATTGTTTCAAGGAACAACTGGAGTGTGGAGAACCACCGTATCTACAAGAACATTTACAGAATTGGGAGCAGGAAGTATTAGCATTATATCCACATCGAAAACCCAAAACTCTGGTTGTAGACATTAGTGGCAAATCAATGTGTGTAACAAGATTCATTCGAGCCATTGCTCCTCCAGGTATTTTTATTGCATATTAGAGAATTAAGATGTAATTTTGTTAGTAAGTAATTGATTATTAGATGAAAAGATTTTGAATATGTATTGTTCCTTCTCCACAAATATAAAAACCTGTAATTGTAAAAACTAATAATGACTGTACAAAATTAATTCCAGAAATGAAAAAAATGCCTTTTTCATTAATATTTATTTTGACCAATTTTTACACCTTTAGAGGTCTTGGAAGGAGAAACAACGAATGCTCACATGGCTGCTCGATTTGTGTCAATGATACCCAGTGTAGCAGGCAGTGTATTATTTCCTGGTCTTTTTGATATCTGGCTTTCAAGTGATGTAAGTGTGTTATATTTATTTGTATTTAGGTATTGTATTTACAATGGTTGAGTATGAATTTGGTTGCTACAGCAAGTCCTGAGACTTCTCTCTGGAGATTCAGAAGACCATGCTGTGCTTCTGTGCTGTTATCTCCTGTATATGAGGCGTAGAGCATGGGTGTTGTTGGGCACAGGCATCCCCCATGGTCCCACCGCATATGTTCTGGAGCACCGGGGTGAAGGAGAGTACTGTCTCTGGGATCCAGCCTCTGGCCAGTTTTTTGATGTACACAGCAGCTTCTGCCCTTTACGTAAAGTTTTCTGCCTCATTAATGATGAAAATGTAAGACAAATTTAGAACACTTGTACTGTGTTGGGAAATGGAATTTAGTAGTGTTTATTAATTTTAAATACTTTAATAATATACTTTATATACTTTAATACTTAAATATAATATACTTTATATACTTAATATACTTTAATAATAAATAATTTAATAATAATCAGCATATTTTATTGAATGTACAAGTTGAAATTCTAAAAAGTAATGTTTGCTGTCTTGAGATTTAAGACATTTTAAAAGATTTCAATTTTTTGTTCAGTGTTTCATCAATACTTATTTATCTATTTAATTAATTAAGTGTTTGATTTAATGACCTTGCAAAATAACCACCAATTTTAAATTAAAATTACTATTAAATAAAAAGATTTCACTTCAATATTTTATTACATCATTTGCATCAATGTTCAAATTAAATTTTTAAATTTTCCTTTACTATCTAGTAAACTGAATGAGTTATTCACTAATGTCTCATCTCATTTTTTTTCTTCTGAAAGAGCATTTGTCAACTAAATAACATTTACCACTAGCATTTATGAATTAATTTACCCCAACAGAAACATTTCTCACATACATATTTTTAAAAAGATTAATGCAACACAAGACTTAAAACTGATAATCTAGGAAAATAGAGGTTTTTATTCTCCTTTGGATGAAAATAGCTCATGATTTTGGTAAATTAAGTCTCATGTTTTTGTTACCAGAGCACCCAGCAATTTTTCGCTATTGCAACGTATTGCACATCAATTGATTGTCAATCACATTTTACGCTATGCTCTGCAAAAGTTTCAATAGACAAAATACTTTCTTGCGTGGTTCTGTCTCTCTCTCTTTCTCTGACCGTTTGTTTCTCTCTGTGTTTTGGTCTCTTTCTGTATCTGTCTCCCAGGAGAAATTTCACAATCGCAGAGGCAGAATACCCAATGAAAACGTCTTAATAATCATACTTCAGTGTGTGGTGGGCTGTGCAGAGACCCCTCATCAGGGCCCTTGAGTCTGTATAAAATCATCATCAATGCGTGTCTATGTGTGCAAGCATATGCACATTCTCATCGTACTATACCTCTATTTTTCCTTGAAGTGTAAGCAATAAGTTGACAAAGTTTTAATGCAATCGGATGAATAGTACAGTACATTGAGACAAACCAAAAACAAACAAACATTTTTTTATATATTAGATGTATGCTTAAGATCTTAATTGGAGTTGGGTGCAGTTCACTTCGGTCACTTCTCACCTTTCATTCCTTTTTATGTATATGTGTGATTAATTAGTCTTTTATTGCAGATTTGGGCAAATGTTCAAAATGTTGAACTACCACAGCACACAAAATTTGATGTAAACAAACGTTCTGACTGGTGGCCAGCATTTGGAAGAGGAATTGGATCTCCAACTACTAGCATTCAACCTCAAGTTCTAGAATACAATAACACATCTCCAGCTGCCGTACAGTTTTTACAAGATAAAATAGAGAAACATCTTCGAGACAGTCTTGTCAAATGGAGGAGGACTGCTAGGTACATTACATTAATGCTCTCAGTATATAGTAGCAACAATAAGCTAGTGTGTACATTTTGTATCAAAGATGCAGTGGCTGTTGAAATCTTAGAAGTCAATATATTTGAAATTAAGAATAATTTTGGAAATTATGCAATTCAAATTTGTTTCATATTGAAAAATAAATTTTATTGTGTCTTGAAATCGTTAACAGACATGAAAATTATTACTGCTTTTCCACTTTCATATTTAAATGTACTGGAATTCTTTGTGTATTTCGTTATACTTTATGTAAAAATGTCATACATATCAACACTGATATTATATTTATTTAAAAAAACAATGGATAGTTCATATAAGTACAGTTATATCATGACTGTGACATTTATTCTCTTAGTTTTCAAGACTCATTAGCATGAACACACTTACTGAAAAGTGAGATGCAACCTCCTAACCAAAACATAACTATTTTATTTCTCCATAACCTATTTTCTTTTACTATAGGACATATTGGAATCGCTATTGTGTAGCCATTCTTCGAAAATTGCTTCCAGCCCTTGAAAGAGAGACATGGAAATTGGATTCAGCTGGACAGGTGGATCATATTCATGAACTGCAACACATTCTTGGCTCTCACAAGGTTAGCAACTATTACAAAGTTAGTACATTATTATCTTATTTCAAGAATTGTTAAAAGTAAATATCAAATATTTTTGTCTTGTAGATGTGTGGTTTTCCCATCAACATGCCATATACCAATATGGCTGCATTAACAGAGAGTGTAAGATCAACTGGCGTTTATTACATCGAGAGTCCAGAAGTAGAATTTGCTCTTGCTGTATATATTCACCCATATCCCAATAATGTGTTGTCTGTTTGGATTTATGTTGCATCCCTCATGAGACGTCGTTAATAAACAGTGTTAATTATGTATATAATGTATGGTTGTTACAAGATAAAAGAAATTAGTTTCACGAAATGGATCACAAAATTAATTAGAAATAAAAAATGTTTCATTGAGCAATGATGTGTGGAATTATAAAAAAGTTGCAAGTCATAGTTGCTTATGAATCAATGATCTTGCTCATTCTAAAATGGAGACAAAAATGTGAAAGTTTCCAAATAAATTATTTAGATACTTAGACAGTAAGAAAAATAAAAAAGCTAGTCAATTTTTTTTAACCGTGGAGGTTTCAATAAAAATCACCAATAAAAGATCGAAACTAAGTTGTGCGTTCTCTCTCCATTCATTAATTTCTTTCTGTCCTCAGGGTTCTTAAATTCTTAAGACATTGTAGGACTAACATATTCCTCGTATATTTTTAAGATCCTTTTAATTCATTGTGCATGAGGAAAAGAAACTGATGTTCTTCCTGCAAATTTAACAAAAGGGAATCTGAATTAAACAATATTTAAATGATGTCAGATTTGAAAATAAATAACTTCCAACCTGTATCGAGAGTAATGGGTATACAAAGAAAATAAGCATGAACTAGGTGTAGAGAAATTATTTTATTTACACTGCATGACTTGTGCATAAATCGATATTCTGCAATAGCAAACTTCATTATATTATACATGCATATCAGATAATAAAATTATTTTATATAAATTTTATTTCTTTATATCTAAGCTGCACTAGACACTCCCACAAACACACTTACCTACCCGTGAACAACTAAAATACACCAAGTATGTACAAAATTATTCTGGGCAATTCAATATAGCACATTACTATGAATATTATATTATCTTACCAAATTCAGTCAATGCAAACATGCAGTTAAACAATCTTTTATTGAAACAGTAAAGACAGGAAATACTGGTCTATGATGACTGGGCAGTTGGTGCTCTGTACTAGGAATAGAGACATGTAATATTTTAGTATAATCCACATTAGGCGCAAAGAGCTGTATTTAGATATATATTTCCGATTGCAAGAAGCATGTCTTTCTACTTTCTTTGGGTTCTTCTTCCCACTGTTTCCCACTACTGTGTTCTTACAATACCCAAACAAAGTTTTAGAAGAGTAAGAAGAATATATAATGGCCTGTACCCAAGCAATATTCATGTGCTGTATAAAGTGTCTAGAAGAAGCATTTATTACTGACACAGTCAGTTAGGAATGGACAAAAGGCAAGAAAACACTATCACAAGTTAAGATATTCTTATTTCTGGTCCATAGTAAAGTCCAAAACTTTTGTGATGAATACTGTACTATTAAAAGCTGCCTCAACTTGTACTTCCTTTTCTTTTGCATAAATGTTTCTATTGAATTTTGAGATGAAAAATTCAAATTAGTGAAACTAGGCATTAAAAATTATCCCGTTTAATCTGTAACAATGAAAAAAAAAGTCTCTTGGGAAATAACATAATTAAACTATATAGGAAAATCAATAACATTTCACTCTAAATGACTAGCATCCGTTTCACTCTCCAAATTTACAACAAATGCTAACAGAACATGAAATCTTACATCAACATTGAATCAGGAAGGATCAGGAATTAACAACTTTCCTCCTCATTTTTCTGGGACATTTGGGCTTTCATGAATAATCAACCTTTTGTCCATGGCTCTGGACAATTAACGTTAAATTTATGAACATATTACTTCAGTTTCAATTTTAACTGAAGTATTCAGTTCTTTTACTTTTATCTTGCAGGCAGACCACAACCTGAGCCATGACTAGTGAATATTAAAACTAGAGATATTAGAAATTTCAGATTTCTATCTCCTCTAAACTGTAACATTTTAACGATTTTCTGTAACAATATAATTTTCAACATTTTACAAATTGCTCATAAAAAGCAATAACGTGGTGGTCATATTCTCCAAAATTATTAAATGTAGTTGGTATCCAGTTCCTATGTCTAACCAACTAGTTTTTCATACAAATTTCATTATTTTTTGTAGCAGTGGTTAAAAAATATTTCAGAAACCTAGTAACTTGTGCTAACAAGTTCTCATGTTTGTGGAAGAAAGGTAGTGCCAGTTGCAATGTACCAGGTAGATTAGTGAGCCCACATTATCAAGTTTAACCATGGTCCCTTTCTATGCCTTTGAGCAGAGCAATCATATTTTCAAGGCCAAAGAGGAACCCTTGGTCAGGTCCTGTGTAGACAACAGGATCATCCAACCCCTTGTGGGTTGAATGGGCAAAGTCGATCATTCGTACATCGACTAATGGTTCAGGAGTGGCAGTTTTCGGCAGTGGTGATAAAGGAGTAGACAAAGATGATTCTCGGGGTGAGCTGTTTGAGCTATGAGCATCCTCGTACATCACAGTACTGCTACTACAACGTCGATGATGACTAGCTACTATGGCTGGTTCTTCACTCAATAGCTTTTCAAATGATCTATCTAATAATGGAGACAGAGTCTCAACACTTGAACTGCGACGTCCAAGCCCAGCTATTCGTTCTTCACTTCCCATTCGACTAAGTTCACATTGTTTAAAGTCAAAACTGGTGGCTTCAGGTGCTGGATTTGTGCAAGACTCATCTCCTTCATAGAGTAAGAGCAATGATGTTGTGTAGAATCGGACAGCATCCTGTCTAGCAAGAACTACAACTAACTCTTCCAAGCGTCGTATCAATGGTGACAACACGTCAGAGCGCAAACGAGACCCATTATGTAGAAACTGACGTAATGCTTGCTGGAAACCAGAGACAGACAGACTTCGTCCATAAAACTTATTTCTGCAGAGAAAGCGCCGAGTTGTTACTTGATAGACCTTAAAAGAAAGTAAATATTTTTTCTTTAATAATAATGAATCAAACAATAAAAATATCCATAAGCACCCACTACAAAATGTAATAGCATCAATGTACCTGCATTCCTCCAATTCGTGCTCCCAGTTTTCCTGAAGTTGTACTCACTACTTTGTACATTTTACTTTGCTTTTTTGGAAGGCTAGCAGTATCTCCATATTGACGGGTTCCCATCTTGAGGTCTAATATACAAGGAAAAGTAAATTTCCATGTCAGGTTCTCAAGTAATATAAAATCTGTTAGTTGATAAAGGTAAAAGTCATTAAGAATTGTCAAAGAATTAGAACTTAGTAGGTTGACAATGTTAAAATGTTAACCAGAAATAATCGCCATTTCATCTTATCTATTTATTTACAATAAATTAATTGATTAAATTATTATTTGAAAGTCTATTCTTCAGCCACAAGAAAAACAAGTTCTCAAAGAAGTCTATGGGCTATGTAATGTGGTTTCTGTAACTAAAAATTTAATGGTATTTAATTGTCTAATTTCTTTTGCAATAGTTTCATTACAAGGAACATAAACTGTCACAAGTGAGTGAAATTAAAGATTAAAGCATCCATAGTGAAATTCAGTTAATTTCTCAAAATTCACAACCTTTGACACTGTGGTAAATGACTCGCATAGAGAGTTGTCTAATACCAAAATTTCTGGTAAGATTACGAATGTCATTCAGTTCTAACATAAGATGTCTCAAAAGAGAGGTGTTAAAACTGAGGAATTCTTCTCCATTATATCGACCATTGAAAGCAGTACTTTATCAAAAATATATACAATGTTTAGAATGCAAACCAGTATGAAGAATACAACGAAGATAATTATCAGAGAATTTTCTTATTAAATCAAATTGTTGATAAACTTAAAATATCAGAGAAAAGGATACTTGGAGCATTGTTTTCCGAGTCTATATCTGCAATCAGGTTTTGGAGTTGTGTGCGGTGACATTTCAACACCCAAGGATTCAAAGCAACACCAGTTGATGTCGACCCTTTTTCTGAAGAACCACAGTCTTCACTTGTATTCAGTTGTTCACCATCAAATAATTCAATAGCCTCTCCATCAATTTCAATACTTCCAGACCGGCGAATTCTCACACGACTGTACCAATTTATCAAATACAAATTCCAATAAAAGTTCCATTGCAAAGATTAGTAATCAAGAAAACGATGGGGACATTAATTTAACAATGTGGAAAGTGCAACTATGAGACATCACCACTACAACACTTACCATGAATGTTGCCTTACAGGTTACATTACAAGAGTCATGTCCATGGCAGATGTAACTGGTGATGCTTGAAAATCTGCTTCAAAGTTTTCTTGTTTAGCATACCTGTGAGGAGACATTCTTGGTAAGTGTTCAGCAGTACTTTTCTGTACTCCTAAGTTTGTGCTGTCCCTTATTTCTTACTTGTGAGCATTAAAAAACATACCTTTTATTATTAGATGTTTTGGGCTTGTAACAATCTGGGGGATTAGCAATAAGAGTAACATAACCTCCATCCTCCTGCACAACTTGTACCTGAATGACACCATAAAACTTTGGAACAAATTTTTGGACAGGTTCAGGCAACGTCTGATAAAATTTCAGCTCTCTGGGCACCAATGGTTTACACACAGTGGCTTCATCCAGGCACAGCATAGATGAATGACCTCCAACTTGATGAATAAAGGGTTCCAACTGCAATTGTTAAATTCTATCTTACATGGAGTTTATCTTTTATAACCATTTTATCACATTTCATTATTTTTCTTCAAAACTGTGTGACAACACAATACCATACACTTTGCATGTTACTTACATGTACATATTCGTTTTGAGAAGATTCTTCCATCAGCTATTACGCTATAAAATTCATGGGATAAAATATCCCAATCACACAATTGCGGTCAGTCTATTTAAATGTACTCGACAGAAATCAAGGAGCTCTCAAGTGTTAAGTGGTCGTGAGTGGTTGGCTATTGGAGATCTGAAAAATCAATAGTGGGCGTACAATGTTTCTTCCGAACACACCCATACAACATATCATTAATATTTTGTTTATAAAATGTAAGTTCTGCACCATGTCATTTTATTTGCTGTTGGACGCAGTATATTTGTAATCAAAATACACCGTGATATAGTATGAAACTTCAACTTGGAATTTAGCGTAAAACTACACCCTAATACTGCATCCAATGAAAGATCTAGAAATACGTATCTTGTCAAGCACCCATATTATTTACAAAAGTAGCATGACGTACGTTAACATAATAAAAATCAATGTTCTTTTAAAAAGGTATATTGTAGTTTCATTGTTACGCAAACGTATTATATTCACGTATATTTAAATGAATTAAGACGTATGTGCGACTCGGTTTGTTCCATGCGAACCTCACAGCTGATCGACTGCTCATTTCATTCACAACCAGCGAGCAACCAACATGGACGCTGTTGTTGTAACTTCGTAGTCTTTGGGGAAAGGGTGCTGGTGTCAGTGCTCGTGTTTTGTAACACCAATATTTTGGTTTATCATATCTGTGATTTCGAGTTAATTAGAATTAATGGCGTTTAGTCAACGGAACGTAGGCCTTTAAGTGTTGTATTATGGAGGGTGGCAAGGTGTTACAACGGTGAAATTTTTACCGAAGATTAGCCGTATTTTAGTGTCTGTCAAGTTGAATTAGTTTATTTACAGTTTTATTTTAACAAAAGACCCAACATTTCTGTCACCATGGTGAAGGAAAAGCCCAACTCCACCCGGATATACGATGAAGATGGTTTTCGAAGACGAGCCGCTTGTATCTGCGTAAGAAGTGAACTGGAAAAAGAGGTATTTATAGTTATAATTATTTTCTAATACTTTATAATTTGTACAAGCGTTAGTGAATAATAGTTTTTTACTGTACGTGAAATTGTAAAACAGAAATGCCGGTACATTCTGCAGTAGATCATTGATCGGCGTGTCCGAACAAGCATGACACATGGTGCCGCTCATCTCGTTTGGTCCGGAGATGCTGTGTTGTTTACGTTTTGAAAGCTTGTTTCGGAGCTCATGTTGCATTTCCGTGCAGTTAATTAAAATTGAAAAATATTACGTTGTTTGCCTACTTTAATCTCGTTGTGAAAGGGAGTCTTTTATTATGGTAGCCCGTCGTTTATAGTGAATTTTCTTTGCCAAATTAAATAAAAAGAAAATGCTGCGACATAGATGTAGAATCTCGATTTCAGAGCTTGGGTGTTTGGAGTTACATAGAATTCTTCAAAATTTGAGGACTGCAAATGTTCGTGTGTTTGGTTTTAGGTGTGTTGACCTTGTTTCGAACGGCTGCGTTGGCACGGGGTGTATTGCCAGAGCGATCGCGCGAATACGACACATTAATACCGTCAAATGATCTTTATCGGACGCGGGATTGGCGTGTTTCCCGCCAGCTGAGGGGTTGTGAGCTATCCGAACAGGCCGGCCGGCTTGGCCGGTGGTTTGATGCGTTGGTACTTCATGCTTTAGCACCGCACCTCCGCCAGTACCCGCCCTTAACTTGCTACCGGCACCGCGCACCATATGGTTTTGACAGTAGTTGAATTACCGGAACGTTACTCGACTTTCCTTTTTTTCGTTTTTTTTTTCTCGCGGGTGTATACGGAATGTTTTTCTTGTATCTGCAAAGCAAAGATAACTATATTCTTTGCCGAAGCTGCTGGATGTTAATTGAAAGAAAAATATTATTTCAGGTGTAACGATTAGCCATCAGACCCAAGTAAATTATCGGCGTTTATTTATTTATTTTCGTCATGGTATGGTTTACTTTTAATTTTAGCAGTCTGTTCCTTGCCCATATTTTACAAGGTATCCTCTTGGCTGTTTTTAGCTCCTACTGAAGGTAGTTGGGGTGCTTAATGGCAATAGTTTTCCCTTCATTATACAGGAAGTATT